ATTAAGAATGCTTGACATACAAAACCACTGGAAGACACTTCTCAAAGACCAAAGGGTAAAATATACAAAAATCAATGAAACCAAGAGCTGGTCCTTCAGAAAGATAAACATGATTGATAAATATTTAACCAGACTCATCAGGTCCCAAATAAATAAAGGGCCCAAATAAAATCAGAAATGAAAGAGAAGTAACAAATGATACCAAAGACATACAAGGAATTAATTGCAAGAAAGTATTATGAACAACTAACTATATGCCAACAAATTGGACAACCTAGATGAAAATGGATAAATTCCTAGAAACATACAATCTTCCAAAACTAAATAAAGAAGAATCAGAAAATCTGAATAGGCAGATTACAACCCATGAAATTGAAGCAGTAATAGAACAACTCTCTACAAATAAAAGTCCTGGACCAGATGACTTCACAGGTAAATTACACCAAACATTCAAAGAAAAACTAACATTTATCCCTTTCAAACTATTCTGAAAAATTCAAGAGAAGGAAAAACTCCCATGCTTATTTTACAAGGCCAGCATGATTCTAATTCCAAAACCAGATAAAGACACAACAAAGAAAGAAAATTATAGGCCAATATCCCTGATGAACATAGATGTTAAAATCCTCAAGAAAATATTAGTAAACCTGATCCAGCAATATATTAAAAAGATCATATACCATGATAAAGTGGGATTTATTCTGGGGATACAAGGCTGATAAAATATCCACAAATCAATAAACATGATACCACATAAACAAACCCACAGGATCATATTAATAGAAGCAGAGAAAGCACTCTTTTTTTTCAAGCTATAAGAGAACATTTATTTGGAAAATCACAGAGGTAGAAGAAGTTATTCATAGAGGAAATGGGCTTAGGAAACAAGTTGTAGAGGAAAAGGAAGGACCTACAAGCTAGGGAGTGAGGAAGGTAAAGGGGAAAGATGGGGAAAGAAAGGGAGAGGGTGGAAGGGAAAGGCTGAGGCATGATCCCAGGAGGGAGAGCCAATCCAGCACCCATTTATGATAAAAACTTTCAGCAAAGTGGGAATAGAGGGAACATGCCTCATTGTAATAAAGGCCATATATCACAAACCCTCAGCCAACATCATACTCAGAGGGCAAAAACTAGTAGCATTTCCTTTAAGATCAGGAAAAAAACAGGGATGTAAACTTTCATACTCTTATTCAACATAGTACTGGAAGTCCTAGCCACAGAAATCAGACAAGAAGAAATAGAAAGCATCCAAATTGCAAAGAAGGAAGTAAAACTGTCATTATTTGCAGATGACATGATATTGCACATAGAAAACCCTAAACACTCCACCAAAAAACTACTAGATCTAATGAATTTGGCAAAGTAGTAGGATAAAAAGTTAATATTCATAAATAAGGAAATAAGTGGAATTTCTAAATATCAATAATAAACTATCAGAAAGAGAAACCAAAAAAGCAATCCCATTTACCACTGCAACAAGGAAAATAAGGTACCTAGGATTAAATTTGAGGTAGAAGACCTGTATTCAGAAACTATAAAACATTGAAGAAAGAAATTCAGGAAGATACAAATAAGTGAAAGTATATATAACCATGTTCATGGATTGGAAGAATTAACATTATTAAAATCTCTATACTATCTAAAGTAATCTATAGATTCACTGCAATTACTATTAAAATACCAATGGCATATTTTATGGATCTAGAGCAAATATTCCAAAAATTTATATGAAACCAAAAAGACCCCAAATAGCCCATCAATCTTGAGAAAGAACAAAGTTGGAGGGATTGCAATTCCAGATGTCAAGTTATACTACAAAGCCTCTGTATTCAAAATAGCATAGTACTGTCTCAAGAACAGGCATATAGATCAGAACAGAGACCCCAGAAATTGACCCAAAAGAAGCAAGAGCATACAATGGAATAAAGACAGTCTCTTCAAAAAATGGTGATGGGAAAATTGGACAGGTACATGCAAAAATAAGAAATTAGACCACCAACTTATACCATACTCAAAATAGATAAAAGACTTAAGTCATGAAACCATAAAAATCCTAGAAGAAACCATAGGCAGCAAAATCTCAGACATCTCACATAGCAGTATGTTTGCCAATACATCTCCTAGGGTAAGGGAAACTAAGGAGAAAATGAAAAAATGGAACTACATCAAAATAAAAAATTTCTGCACAGAAAAAGAAACAACAAAATGAAAAGGGAGCCCACTGTATGGGAAAACATATTTGCCAATGATATATCTGATAAGGAGTTAATTTCCAAAATATTTAAGGAACTCATACCATTTAACAAAAGACAAAAATTGAATCAAAAATAGGCAAAGGGCCAAAATGGATATATAGATGGCCATATAGATGGATATATAGAGACAGATGAAAAAATGCTCAGTCACTAATCATCTGAGAGATGCAAATCAAAACAACAATGAGGTATCACCTCACACCTGTTAGAATGGCTATCATCAACAAATCCACAAATGACAAGTGCTGTTGAGGTTGTGGAGAAAAAGGGAACCCTCATCCACTGCTGGTTGGAATACAGACTGGAACAGCAACTATGAAAAACAGTATGGATTTTCCTCAAAAAATTAAAAATGGAACTGCCATTTGACCCAGCGACCTCACTTCTATGAATATATCTTAAGAAACCTGAAATAACAATTAGAAAGAATATATGCACCCCTATGTTCATAGCAGAGCAATTTATAATAGCTATGATCTGGAAACAGCCCAAGTGCCCATCAGCAGATGAATGGATAAAAAACCGGTGCTACATTTACACAATGGAATACTATCTATATATATAGATAGCTACGACAGAACGACCGGAATGACCAGTCACTATGATGTGCACTGACCACCAGGAGGCAGACGCTCAATGCAGGAGCTGCCCCCAGCCCACAGGCTCTGATCACCAATGGGGCTTGCTAATCAACCTCCTGGTCCCTGCCCCTAGCCGGCAGGCCCCTATTGCCCAATTGGGGCCAGGCCCCTGGGCTGGGACAGGAAACCAAGGGTGGGTGGTGGCAGGCGCGGCCCATTTCTCAGGGTGGCTGAGGGCCAGCTCCCTCCTCGGCCAGTGGCCAACCTACTGGGCCCCTCCCCTTATCCCTCCCCCAAGCCAGCAGGCCCTGATTGGGGCCTGCTGGCCAACCTCCCAGTCCCTCCCCTGGGCCAGCAGGTCCTGATCACCCAATAGGACCAGGCCCCGGGCTGGGACAGGGAACTGGGCATGGGTGGTGGTGGACGCGGTTAGTGAGGGAAGGAGGAGGCTGGCAGGCAGGGAACCTAATTGGCCCTGATCGCTGGCCAGGCCTAGGGAACCCACCCATGCACAAATTTCGTGCACTGGGCCTCTCGTGAAGCTATAAAGAAGAAGGATCTCTTACCCTTTGAGACACCATGAAACAAAAAAGGCCAGTCAGAGAAAGATAAGTATCACATGATCTCACTCATATGTTGAATCTAATGAACAAAATAAACTGATAAAAAAAATAGATCCAGAGACATAGAGGCATGGAACAGGCTGACAAATCTCAGAGGGATGGTGGGGGGACGGGACGGATTAGCCAAAGAACTTAAATATATCTATTTATATAAAAGCCTAAGCAATGGAATGACCAGAACGACTGGTTACTATGATGTGCACTGACCACCAGGGGACAGATACCCAATGCAGGAGGTGCCCCCTGGTGGTCAGTGTGCTCCCACAGTGGGAGTGCCACTCAGCTGAGACCCACCAGCCCAGTGGCAGCCACTCCCTCCCTCAGTAGTCCTGCAGGTCCAATATCAGAGAATGGTCCAGGCACCAATGGACCAACACCGCTGGCATGATCCCAATAACACCACCAGACTCCTGGAAGTCAGCCTCGGGCACTGGGGCCACTTCCCCTCTCTAGATGCTCCACAAGAAAGAAACAATATAAAAGCAGCCGCCAGGTGACTCCTGACAACCAGCATGAAAGTCAGAGGGACAGATACGATCCCATGTCAGCAAGGGCATCCCACCACCCGCCCAGAGGGCCAATCGCATCCCAGCCTTCCACCCCACCCCCCTCAGAACCCCAACCATGCACAAATTTGTGCAATGGGCCTCTAGTATACACACACACACACACACACACACACACACATAATCCATGGACACAGACAATAACACATAATCCATGGACACAGACAATAGTGTGGGGAAGGCCTGGCGGGGGCAGGGCTGGGTAGAGGGGGTCAATGGGGAGAAAAAGGGACATTGGTAATACTTTCAACAATAAAGATAATTTAAAAAAAACAACATGGTACTGGCATAAAAACAAACATATAGATCAATGGAGCAAAATAGAGAGCCCAGAAATAAACCCATTCCCCAACATTACTAATCATCAGAGAAAGGAAAATTAAAACCATGAGATATCACCTCATACCTGTCAGAATGCCTATCATCAATAAATCAACAAACAAGGGTTGTCAAGGATGTGGAGGAAAGAGAACACTTGTACACTGTTGGTGGGAATGCAGATTGGTGCAGCCACTGTGCAAAGCAGTATGGAGTTACCTCAAAAGAAAAAAAAAAAAGGAACTGCCTTATGACCCAGCAATTCCACCTCTGGGAATTTAGCTGAAGAAACCCAAGACACTAATTTAAAATAATATATGTTAATTGCAGTGTTATTTATAGTAAAGATTTGGAAGCAGCCCAAGTGTCCCTCAGAAGATGAGTAGATAAAAAGGCTATGGTAGCCTGGCCAGCATGGCTCAGTGGTTAGCAGGGCTCAGTGGTTGAGCATCAACCTATGAACCAGGAGGTCAGGGTTCGATTCCTGGTTGGGGCACATGCCCAGGTTGCGAACTCAATCCCCAGTGTGGGACGTGCAGGAGGCAGCCAATCAATGATTCTCATCATTGATGTTTCTCTCTCTCTCCCTCTCCCTTCCTCTTTGAAATTAATAATAAAAATGTATGGGTGGGGGGGGGGAGGAGCTATGGTAGATTTACACAATGGAATACTACTCAGCTGTAAAAAGGAAGAAAATTTTATCCTTCATAATAGCATGGATAGACCTGGAGAACATTATGCTGAGTGAAATGTCAGTCAGAAAAAATAAGTTCCATATGATTTCACTCATATGTGAAGTTTAATGAACAAACTGAACTAATACGCAAAATAGAGACAGACTCATAGATACAGACTCTTTCTAGCAGGTCAACAGCTTAGAAGGAGGGTTGTTAGTGGGGGAATTGAGAAAAAAAAGAAAGAGAAAGAACTCATGGACACAGACAACAGTATGGAGATTATTGCAAGGTGGGTGGGAGGGAGGTGGAAGAGTGTAGAGGGCATATAAGTGGTGATGGGGAAAAATAAAGAAAAAAAACAAGATGTAAGTATAAATGTACTTAAATATTTGATCAAGTGCAAAAGTAAAAGAAGAATGTAATCAATAAAAATTGGTGATGATGCCGAACCGGTTTGGCTCAGTGGATAGAGCGTCGGCCTGCGAACTCAAGGGTCCCAGGTTCGATTCCGGTCAAGGGCATGTACCTTGGTTGCGGGCACATCCCCACTGTGGGGCGTGCAGAAGGCAGCCGATCGATGTTTCTGCCTCATCGATGTTTCTGACTCTCTGTCCCTCTCCCTTCTTCTCTGTAAAAAATCAATAAAATATATTTAAAAAATTTGGTGATGAGAAATGAAGAAGCAAAAAAGAAATGTACTAATTACATCATTGCTTATTCTAAGCAATCGATAGGTACACATACACAGAATAAAGTTGAAAAAAATATATAGACTATATGGTAAAATATTTTAAATGAGCTGTAAAATAGAAAGTTTTTACATAAAATACATAGTAATAAACATGACCAAGCACAAAAGATTGAAATCATCTCAAAGATCCAGCAGAAAATTGGTTCATCTCGCAGGTGCCAGAATAGTGGTTTCTAAATCTTCCTCTAAGGGTTCTATCATTGCAGACAAGCCCCAGGTTGCCACTGTGCTCTCTATGTGTGAGAACTCATTTATCCTCCCACTCTTTTTCCTAGTGGAATCCAGGAAAGGTTATCTTTCTTTCTATGCCCAGGTGAGCAGAGGAAAGAAAATTTATTTCCTGAAAGGTATTATGTCATCTTTGGGCTAGATAGCGAAAACCAAACTATAGAGTTAACTTTGCCAGTGAGGAAATGAAGAGCAACTGAAAGCTTCTGAAAATAAAGATTCCATGAGAAAAGTGAGTAGATTCTGAAGATTAATTTGCAATGATCAGTGTAGGGGAGAGATGAAAATAAGAGATGTTGTAGAATCATAGGTTACTGATACTATAACAATCTTGAGAAA